TTCCTCCTGGACCAGCAAGCACCCCTCGGGCACCGACTTCTCGCCCCACTTTCCCTCCCACACCACCCAAACACATCAACCCCAGCCACCTCGCACCCCTTCCACCCCCACCTCTGCATGACAACCCCGCGCACCCCCGCATCACGTGGATCGACTTTCTCGCCACGAGTTCGCGCTCAACCACGCAGTGACCGCCCGATCTCCTCTCGGGATCACCGCCCACGTGCGCACCCTGGACGGGATGGACGAGATGTACGTGATGCGCGCGAGAATCGTGGACGTTATCGCCGCTCTCGTACTCACGACATCGTCTGATCGCCGACAACATGATTCAGATCGGAGACATGCTGCTGCAAGGCGGGATCGTCGTGAATCCCGGACTTCTCGGCGATCCAACCGCAGTCGATCTCATCGAGAACCCCGTTCCCCACAACGACTCCATCTCCTTCAACACGACCGAATTCTGAACGTGCTTCGATTCTACAGCATTGGCACCGCCGCTCGCTGAGATTGACTCCGGGACCTGGCAACGCACCCACCTTGCAGACTACCCCGAACCGGACTCTCGACCAACCACGCCGCCACAAGCCTTCACCCAAACCACTACCCCACCACAGACCACCCTCTCCAATGCTGAGGCTGAGGAACTTCGTCAACTTCGTCAACAAGTTCAACTACAGGCTCAACCACAACCCCCTGCCCCATCGGCTCTCCGTCCCGCCCAGCAACAATTTCTACCAGTTCAAGCAATTGTTCACCCCTTTTCCTTTTTTCCCAGGCTTCGACCAATCCAGCCAACCTCAACACCATCCACTTCCCAGGCATCCCCACAGTCATCACAACCACCACCTCCCACCTCTACCGCGACTCCGACTTCCGGCCCCGCCGACACCCCCCTCACGGACGAGAACCAGGACCTCTCCATCTCCCTGTTTCAGCCACGCCCTCGGGCACTACCTGATGATGGAGCGAACCCAGCTCGCCCCTCCCAACAGTCCTCCCGGCAATCTGACAACCAGTCACACCGCCTCAAGAGCCAGCATGGAACAGTCGGTGGGAGCCCTTCAGCGCACCTTGGCGCACTTTGGAAGCTTCTGGCAACACCTTCCGGAACTTCGCCTCAGCCCGGGTCCTCAACAGCATGTTTGGACCACCCTTTCTGGCGACACGTCGTCGCCGCCGGTTCTCAGAATCTGTGCATGGCTTGCCATTCGCAATCATTGGGACCGGCTGCTACAGCTCATTGAACCCCATCGCCAAGATTTGGTGGACGATCACTCCCCTGCCTCGGGATTTGGTCCACGGTCCACAATGAGCTTGTTCGCCTCCTACCAGCTCCTTCAGGCGAGTGCCCGCGTCACAGTGGAACAACCACTTCAAACAGTACTTGCAGCACCTTGTCCAAGTTTCTGGTATCATGGATCGACGGCCACTGTTCGTTTTCACAACGTAGTTACCTCATCTTGCTTCTCAAGCTGGAATACCCCCTCAGCAACGACTTCGACTCCACGGGCCACAACACGACCTGCACCTTCGTGCGCAATTGACCCGCCGTCTCCACGCATGGCATCTTGTCGGATGGCTTCATTCGCCCCAGCTCCTGGCGACATCAGAAGGACGGCGATCACCTCCCCAGCTTGTGCTTCTACTGTCGGTGCTGCTATCCGGGACATGGACATCACAGCGATGGACGAGTTGATGAATCCATCACCGACATCCTCCCAGCAGAACTTCAATGTGCCCTCCACACTGCTGCGGAGTTCGGCGGATGCGAGGCTAGCCGCCAATCCTTTGTGGCTGGGGAGTGTTACAACAGGGGTCTTCAGCGCTTTGTGGTTCGGTCCGGGGGCCTTCCCTGTGATGCCCTCGCCTCTCGCTTCTATGATGTGATCCGCAACAAGTCTGATCGCTGGGTTCAAGTGCCGCACTGCCGTTAGCCAAGTCCAATACGCCGTGATTTTCATCAAAATCAATGAACTTCGAGCCTACGGTTTGAACAGGGCTGACTTGTTCCCTTGAGGTCTACCGCCGCTCCATTTCTTGCGGTCCCTGTACACTACCCTTCAGCAGCGTTGTGATCCCTTATGGAGATCCCCATTTTCTGCTACCACCTCGATCTCTTCCTCGCGGTAAAAGATGACCTTGATTCCTTTAGTTTGCTGGGTCACGCCTTTCACCCTTACTGTTATCCGGGGCCCCCTGTCCTTGTACAACCTTCCTTTTGGCCTCCCACTTGCGATAGCAATGATTTTCACATTCATGGCTATGGTGGAGGTACTACATGAGATGCCGTACACTACGGATTTCCCTCCGGATCTTCCTGATGACTTGCAGCAGATCTTGCGTGATCTCCACGCTTCAACTGATAGGATGCTTGAGGAAGTCCGCACCGCTTGGAGCTGTATCCTCCTCACGCTCTACCTACTCAACCGTGGCTCCCACCGCGCACTGTGATCCTGAGTCAGAGCGATGAAGGGAAGCCATGAAAACGTCGTAGCCCGGTGTGGAGGTAGTCATCGTCGAAGAGGAGGAAGGACGGGTGTCCGGTCGGGGGACAGGTTGGGGGATGCGATGGTCTCGAAACGAAGTGAAACCACGTTCAGCTTCCAATTGATTCGTGTCAAAATCCAAAGTGTGGATCGAACCAAAAAGGTGGTCATCAACTCATGAGTGTAGTGCAAAGCGGTGTGGGTGACCTGCATCGCCTGTCGAATAGCGGAATCCAAACCACGAAGTTGTACTTGAAGGTGGGGACAGGTCACTCGCTCCAAGAAGCGGACGGGAAAGGATCGCCAAGCGGGTGCGAAGAATCGTGAGGATGAGGTCCAAAGAGGCATGTACGTGAAGAATCTCACGATGTAGTACAGCTTGAGCCACCATTGGGATGCCCTCCATCGGCGCCAAGCCAGTGGGTGAGGGGGACATGGCGGGTGGAACGGGATTAGGTGGGGAGGAACTCATCACACGAAGGTCCCGACAGGTTCCAAGGCTGCCACCTTTGACCGCTGCGGTCACGTAAAGGCATAAGCCAGGTTGGAATTCAGTAAATGAGACATAAGTTTGAGTTCTCAGCCTAGGCCACCTACGCTCGCTACGAGCAGAATGCCACATGCCACACGCCACCTAGGTTTGAATGCCTAAGGGTTCAGGTTGGGTAGTAGCCGAGGAACCTCTCAAGGAACCTCCAAAGCACACGAGCTCGAACTGCGGAAACGCGACAAGGTGACGGCGATCCGCGCGCGCCTGCAGAATGCATTAGCACTTTACGACTGACTCATCTCGGCAAATGTTAAAATTCAAGCAGGTACACCAGGTTGATCAGACCTGGCTTCCCAGATGCAAGGTACCTTGTTAGGCGCAGTCCCTTGCATCTGCTGCGCCCCCCTGCTGAAGAAAAGAAAGGAAAAGAAAACAAATTCACAATCCGAGTGGATCCCTGTGACTACAAGGGGCACACACACATAGCAAACCGTACTGAATTGAACGCCACACGCCACACGCCCACCTAGATATGAACGCCTAAGAGTTCCAGGAAAAGGTATGAGTCCGAAAGATCTCAAAGTTCACCAGCTCACAAATTCCAAAGAGCTCCATGCTTACAAAGTTCTCGAACGAGCGCGAAAAAGGAAACGAGAGTCGACGAGTGCACACCTGCAGACCTGTATCATCCTGCAACAGCCTGAGGACCTCTACGATGGGACAATGGCTAGCTCCGTTGCTCAGGGTGGGTCATGGATGCCGTGCGCCCCTGCTACATCAAAACGAAAAGTCAAAGGTAACGAATCAATTGATTCCCGGTGATTCCAAGGGTTTCACATACACGACCCCCGGCGTGCTAAAACTGAGTGACAGGCTAATGTGCACGCGGGTGTAGCAAGGACAAAAAGATGAAGACGTGAGAAGCGGACACGACAGGACAAAAGCGTATGTGGTTGCGATGAAGGGGAACCAAGTGACCAGGGACAAACAGTGAACCCCACCTCATTGTCAAGACCTGGGCGACCTGAAACCGCGCGCGGCCGGGAACGACATGAAACGAAAGAAGAAAAGAAAGTGTGTGTGAAGGGGACAGGATGAAAAGGGGAACCAAATGGAGGGGCCGGAAACCGACGAAACCAGACCTCATTAAAGCGACCTAGCAAAACCTGGCCTGGCTTGGAATGCACGCGCTGTGTGTGCACTTAAGGCTGTGACAGGCCCCAATGGGCCTACTTAAACAAGGTTCGGTCGCTGCGACCCTACTCACGTCCGCTGTGGACACGTTCTGGCCTGCCCTGGGGCACACTACTCAAAAGCAACACTTCATCAAGTCTTGGCAAATAACTTTGGCATAAGCCTACTCCGGCCGCTGCGGACTACTCCGTTTTCGAGCATGGAAACATAGACACTCCTCGGGTACACCCTGGGCTCTCACTAAGGAGAGGCACACTTAGGAAATCCGTACTGAACTGAACGCCACACGCCACGCCCACCTAGATATGAACGCCTAAGAGTTCCAGGAAAAGGTATGAGTGGGGTGGAGCTGCGTGGATTATTTGAACTCCCCTCACTCGCTTCAATGAAGAGAAGAAACAACAAATCGATAGCAGCATACGCCTTCTCAGCATTGCAAAGAGGCACTCGACGCAAGGGCAGGCAGTGTGAAGCCAAGCCTTTTGCACGCTGAAGTTTTAAGAAACGTAAGCACTGCGATGTGGTGGTTTGCTGGCTCTAGAATGTCCAGAGGAGCCAAGAGCAAGAACGTTGCAGATACTGGAAAGAATGGAATCCAAGCAGCTATTCATTACGAACAGTCATGAAATGCAAGTTTACAAGTCGGAGCTCCAGGCAATTTTTTTACCACCGCCCACCGCAAGCCGCTGTGTGAAACGTATGCAGTACACCTATGGCGTCTGCAATGGCATGAATACTACGCTGCACTTTCGCTGCAGCTTCAGTCTTTGTCACTTCCAAGCATAATTAGTCATGATCACAAACCCCATTTGACCATACATCCCCAGTTATTTTCGTTTGCTCTTCTCCAGATCCTTGGATACACAGCAGTTTCAGAAGTTGTGTCAGGAGATCTGAAGTGGTAAAATAACTAGTGCCACAAAGCGTCGATGCCCAGCTTCCTTGCATCTGCAACTGCTTCCTGGAAGTCAGTGGAAGTCACTGGAAGTCCAAAAACTGTGATTGGGAGCTGGCGCTTATTTATGTCAGGTCCGAGAGCAACATTTGAGCCGAGCTATTCAAGGATACGAGGTATATATATATACAGTATATACAACCACATGATCGAAAAACTCAAAGGATTCAATTGTGTCCTCGCCCATGTTTCTCAGAGTGCCCAGCGAGGTGACCTGAACATCAACATACGTGACATGAGTTTGCATTGTTGCCCCGCATCGCCTGCTGGAGGATGTGGTGGGCAACACGTATTTGATCTTCTAACCTGGAAATCGTGTCGATTCACTCGTGACCTGCAAGCTTGGAACCTTTGCAGAGCCAAAGCTAGCTGGCGGTGCTGGCGCTTTTCCTCATCAAAGGCTTCTTCTTGGTCCTTGCTGACAGAGAAATTGTATGCGCATCCGTGTAATGAACTCTGAGGGAGCAGCGGCGCTCTTTCTGAGCAGGGCGCTTGCAATTTTTCTCTCAATTGAACGTTCTCAACACTTAGCCTCTGTGTCCCAGCCTGGCAAAATACCGAAAAGGTACTGGCGAAGATCATGTAAGTTCTCAATGCACCTGCATTTGAGCATACCTGTCTTTCAATTCCTCCAGTTCAGCTTCGAAAGGATTTGGAAACCTGGGCGAGTTGTCTGTGTTCTGATGGAATAGGATTGCCAATTGGCAAAACAGTGCAAGAACACCATGCCTAAGATGCAAAGCCCATGCATGCCTCGCCTACGCACCTGCTCCTCAATTTGCTTGCATGCTTCCTGACAAATCCAGTTCTTCCACATAAGAAGCTGATGACCCTTCCCATGCACCTGGGCTTTTAGCATTTCTTCTTGCAGGATCTGCTTTACCTGCTCGTGCTCCTTCATCATGGCCTTTCAACAAAGCAACTTGGCTGACAATATCAACTAAAAATTGTGGTTCCGGCGGCTTGCACTTGTAGGAATGTTGGTGGGGAAGGATGATGCTGGCACTGTTGCTTGTTCAGGAACACTGAAAAGTTGCAAACTCTAGGAAATTCACGGCATGTTGCCGTAATTGAAATCATGATACAAATGCCTACATAATATATAATATATAATATATAATATATAATATATAATATAATTTAATATGTAATATGTAATATATAATATATAAAATATATTAATACTAAAAATCAAAAAAATCCGCCTCGTAGCGTTCATCTCTCCATCTGATCTGCGGTTCCCAGTCTTCTTGCGCGCCCTGGGGAAACAACAGCAAAGAGACATGATACGGGACATCATAGGTTCGCATCAACAAACACAGTAACTTTGAACAAAGCACGTCGCGGGTGTTCTTGACCCAAGCAAAAAATGACGATGTCAGGCTATGAACCCAACAAGGCCAAGTCTTTTGTTGCTGCTAGGGCGAGTGGCCGAATCCTTTCTAAAGGGCCCAGAAGCGGCACTGCTTCAACACTTGAGGCCGGTTGACCATGCCAGAAACAATTTGGCAGCCACTCTGCCGAATAAAGATTCGGGGCGCAAGCACGGCGAACCCATGCAGACTGATCTCGCGGTTTTTACTGCGCTCTGTGGAGAAGCGGCGCAAGGCTAGAACTTGCCTTTAAAATTTCCTCCCTTGGAGAGCCTGACTCATCGAACCCTATCCGGTTGGAAGTGCGAATCAACACGTACAGAACTTTGAGAAAACATTTCGCAGGTTTGTTTTGGCCCAAGGGAAAAATAAATATGTATGGGAACCCCAAAACGTGGAACTGAAAAGCTTTCAATGTGGTTCATGGGCCTCGGCTTGCTCCACCACAGCGTCCACATGCTGTCTCAGCTGGCTGTTTTCCTGCAAAAGCAATAGCCCAACATCGAGATCCAGTAAGGATGCAAGTGCCATGGGGAACAACTTCACATTTTTTTGTCCTCCACCAAAATTCGAATGCCTTCCTGCACTGCTTGAAGCCATTTCAAACGAACAGCCTGCTTACCTTTCCAACCTCCTGCTTCTTGATATTGCCCTCCAGCTCCACAATTTTTTTCTTCATGGCTTCCTTCCAAGCTACAAAGGTTCCAAGACTAAAACTGTGCCAATCGAGGCAGCCTTCTCTGGATCTTCAAGCCGTGAATCAGCAAGCCTCAGTGCCCTCCTGCAAAATTGAAGTAGTGGCGCGAAAAGTGTATGAAGTTGTAACACAGTCCTCAATTCAGCGTCTTTTATTAGCAAATTCCGTTCCAGCTCCAGGATCTTTTTCTCCAACTGTGCCAGACAAACATGAATTCAGAGACCAAAAACAAACAAGATGGAGCCCACGAACCCGAATGCAAACACGTTCGAAAAGCTACATATGTCCAAATGACACTCTTGTAGGACACTCTTGTGGGACACTCTTCTGGGACACTCTTGTGGGTCACTCTTACACGACACTCTTGTGGGACACTCCTTGTGGGACACTCTTGTGGGACACTCTTGTGGGACACTCTTGTGGG